TGCGTACACTGTGGGTGAGAACATATAAACTGCTACAGCTTTTCTGGTGAGCTATTTGGTGATGTGAATCAGAATTGAAAATGCCCATACCACGTGACCCAGCAGTGCCACCCAGGAATGGATCCTAAAGGGATAATCACATGCCCCTGCAAAAGAGATTATACACCTGGACGTTCACTGCAGCTAACAACTACCGAGCACTTCCACAGGCCATCTACTGTCCTAAGCATCTCATACACATCATCGGATAATCCACAGAGGGACCCCATGAGATATTACTATATCTGTGCACTCTAGATGAAGAATTGCAACTCTGTTAAATAAATTATGTTATGTAACAAAACATTACCAGATGCTTCTGAAAATCTTTTAGGTATTTATTGACATTAAGAGATATTCATAGCCTGTTGAGTAAAAGGTAGGTTACAGAATAACATGTAAAATCCTGTGTGTGTGTGTTTATGCTGAAAAAGATACCTGGAAGGATGTTCTTCAAAATATTAACAGCAGCTCTAAGTGGCAGGATTTATGGTGATGCTTTTTCCTGTATTATAGTTTTTCTGTATTGACTGAATTATTCCCCACCCCACTTGCAATTAGCAGGAATCATTTTTTTTAAGATTTTATTTATGTATTTTTAGAGAGAGAAGGGAGGGAGGGAGAGAGAGAGAGAAACATCAATGTGCGGTTGCAGGGGGTTATGGCCTGCAACCCAGGAATGTACCCTGGCTGGGAATCGAACCTGGGACACTTTGGTTCCCAGCCCGCGCTCAATCCACTGAGCTACGCCAGCCAGGGTAGGAATCATTTTTTAAAAATAAAACTATATAGTTTATTTTTACTTTGGAAAAAAAAAGGATATATGGAAGGGTGGCATGAGAAGTACTCATAGACCGTGTCGGTTTGCTCTTCTGTCACTCTGGCTAAGGGATGTAACAGCAGGTTACAGGCTGGGGCAGAGAAGCCCGCCCCCCTCAGCCATACAACATGGGGGTCTGGATTTACGGGGGACATCCTAATATCATTATTCACGGATACGCTGACCTTTCCAGAGCCACATTCAGAGCCTTCTGTTCATCACCTGTTGAACAGTGACTTCCAGTGTCCCCAATGGCGGCCATTTAGTGCCCCCAGCAGGGGAGCTCTGGGCAGCAGGGAGTCACTGGCTGGCATTTATAACCAAACTGGTTTTTGGGGACTCATTACATTAGACGTAGGGGGACAGTTTGTACTGCCTCCTCTGAAATATGTCCACCTTGACAGCTACTGACTATAAGACTCATCCACGCATTTTCTGCCTCTCATTTTAAAGCCTGAGGGCCACACGTTTTAGGGACCATGAACTAACACAGGTGGCCATTTCTGTGGTCTCGTAGCTAGTCCCTAAAACCCAACATTCTTCATGGAAATAATTTTGTCTTCATATCTAATTAAACCAGAAGCCTAATTAAATTACTGTTACTATAGCTTGGAGAACTTGAAGTTGGTCCCAAGAGTCACTGTAGCTTGGAAAAAAACTCAGTAATGAGAAACTTCTGCCTATTTTTAGTTACACACCTGATCGAAAGTAAAATACTGGAAGAACTGCCGGGGGCACACGCGGGCTGGGTCAGTTTCACGCAGCAGACCCCAGTTTAAAAGGCACATGCAGCACAGCAAAAGAAACCATCAACAAAATGAAAAGGGAACCCACTGGATGGGAGAACATATTGCCAAGGATACATCTGACAGGGGGTTAATTATCCAAAATATATAAAAAACGTCTACAACTCAACACCAAAAAAAAAAATCCAATTTAAAAAAAAAATGGGCAAAGGAACTAAGCAGGAACTTCTCCGAAGACAACACACAGATGGCCAACAGACGTAAGAGAAGATGCTCAGTGTCAGTAATCATTGGAGAAATGCAAATTAAAATCACAGTGAGCTATCACCTCACACCTCTCCTGTCGGAATAGCTATTATCAATAAATCAACAAACAACAAATGTTGGAGAGATTGTGGAGAAAAGGGATCCCTCCTGCACTGTTACTGGGTATGCGGACTGGTGCAGCCACTGTGGCAAACAGTATGGAGTTTCCTCAGAAAGTTAAAAAAGGAACTGTCTTATGACCCAGTGATTCTGGGAATATACCCTAAAAAACCCAAAACACTAATTTGAAAGAATATACGTACTCCTATGTTCATTGCAGCATTGTTTACAATAGCCAAGACATGGAAACAGCCCAAGTGCCCATCAGTGGATGAGTGGATATAAAGGCCGTGGTAAGCAACACAATGGACTACTACTTGACCGTAAAATAGAAGGAACTCTTACCTTTTATGATAGCATGGATGGACTTAGAGAATATTATGCTAAGTGAAATAAGCCAGTCATAGAAAGACAAACACCATATGATCTTGCTTATATGTGGAATCTAATGAACAAAATAATGTAACAAACAAAACAGAAACAGAAGCACAGATACACAGAACAGACTGACAGCTGTCAGAGGGTGGGGGTTTGGGGGCCTGAGTGAAAAAAGGTGGAGGATCGTGGACATGGACAACGGTGTGGAGACTGTGGTGTGGGGCTGGGGTGTGAGGGGGATAAATGGTAATGGAAAAAATACAATACAGTAGATTAAAAAAAGAAACGAGCTGAAGGGATGAAGCAAACATAATGTATAAAACACACAGACACAGACAATAGTAAGGTGACTGCCAGCGGAAAGGGGGCGGGAGGGAGGTAGACGAGGGCCAAGCGGGATAAACGGGACGGAAAGGGATTCGAGGTGATACGCACACAGTGCGGTGTGCAGATGATGTTTTGCTGAGTGGCACGCTTGAAACCTGTATGGCTTTGTTCACCAACGTCACCCCAAAAAACTCGGTAAAGAAAATAAAACCACATGCAGACGACCCAACCATCTTGCCATCAGGAACAAGCTCTCTGGCGAGTAAACAAGGGAGTGAATCCAGTGACGGCATCCTTCACACACACTCCTGCTTTCAACAAACAAATGGGGCAGGGTGCCTACCATGTGCTGGGCCCTACTTAGGCCCTGGGGAAACAGCAGTGATCATACATGTTCTGTGCTCATGGAGCTTTAAACATGCTTACAGAAGTCTAAAAATTAGGTTAAACATGCTAGACATTTAATCTACACAAGACAGCCTGTCCCAGTGAAAATAAAGCTAGTTGTTATAACTACCAATAACTAACTAACCAGTTAGTTAATTAAAGCCTGTGCAATAACTAATTGGTTGGGGAAGTAGGTACAAATCATTTTCTCTCTTGGGAATCTATTTCCCCAGTAGTAAAACTGAATTACTGGAATAATAAAAATCAAATGAAATAACATCCAAAGGCAAGGCACTGGTGATCCCACAACGAATGGGAATTTAAGATTTAGACTCCCCAACCCAAATAGGGAGCACAGGGGGAGGGGGGACATAAGAGGGCCTGGGCGATGCTCTTGCAGGCAGAAGAAAGTCTTACCAGAATACCCTTCTGTTAAGTATGGCACTGCTAGGGCCATAAAAACATGAGCCAAAAATAAGATCACAAATGTTCCAGTTCTCAGGGAGACTATTCTTAGAAATGAAAAGGCTAAACATAAACTCTTATACAAGTTTTCAAACCTATTCAATTATTCAGACTTGTCTGCAAGGCAGGATGATACAGAGGCAAGAGCTGGGCTGGTAGTCCACCTGAATTTTTTTCTGGCTGTGCCTAAGGCCTTGTGAACTTGAGCAGCTCAACCTGACCTCGCCACCAAGGCAAGGGGAGGCTGGAATGACATGTGTAGTCACTCTAAGCTTTAAAATTCTATGCTTATAATCAACTTAACCTCTCAGTTTGCTTTTCCATTGCTCTGTCTTCATTAAAAGAAGAAAAGAAAGCAAGCAAACAAACAAACCCCAGCTCCCTGCTGGACAATACACTAGTGTCAAAAGCAGAAGGCAGCTGCAACCTCCATCATCTGAGAAACCTCAGCAACATGCACACCCACTGAGGGGCAGGGAGGGAGACCTCTGATGCCACCATCCATGCAATAAGAATCTATGCACTTGACCTCTAAGAGAAACTTGCAGACCATCACCCTAAATCAATTTGCTAAGGTTGTTACAATTGCATAAATTTAGTAATCTGCTTTCTTAGCTTACAGAAACAGCTAATTAAATCTGGGGACAGCGTGTCTAGAGACAGGGGTAGCAACAAAAGGAACAGGATATTGCAAAGGGACCATATCATTTTTGCAGCTACAACAACAACAAGTAAACTTCACCAAGAAGACAATGGCATGAGGCTTATAAACCTGGGCTGCTGGAAATGGGAGAAAATAGCCCTACAGATCTCAAAGGCCGTTGAGGGCATTAGTGCCATCAGTGTGAGAGGTGGTATCTCATAATGTAATCTCAATGATCAGGGTCATATGGTTGACTAAGAAGGCAAAGAAGCATTTTAGAGAAATTTCCATTAAAACAACAAAACCTTTGGCACTTAAAAGGGCAGGCTTAGTTTTTTAAACATTCACTTTCATAGAATAATTCATTCATTTCGAATCATGGCCAATAAATGAGCTAAATTGCAAAACTGTTAGCATTTAATCTATACATCTTAGTTCCAGTTCAGAGAAAAGGAAGTGATGAAAGGCTGTGCCCCAGTCGCCAGCTGACTGAACCACAAAAGCTCACTGCTCACCCACCTGGCCGGGGACTAACCCCTCACTCCCGCCACCGCCAGGCTGGCTTCTTCCAGATCTCTGGGCACACACTGGGCGCTCTCTAGCCCCAGGCCATTGAACGTGCTGTTCTCTCTGCCTGGGATACTCCTACAGGCAAAAATTCTATTCATCTTCAAGTAGCAGTTTAAATAATTTCTCAGCAAGGCCTTCCTAATGTCCTAGACTTAAAAAAAAAACCTCCCTCAATTATTCTCCTGTAGTTACTTTTTTTCTTCTTGGTATTTATCATATTGATAATTACATATTTGTGTAATGTCTATTTTCTCTCCAGGGATCTTGTCTGCTGTGTTCCACATCAGTTACCAGGACCAGAAGCCAGTACAATGCCCACCATGTGGTAGGTGCTCAGTAACCAAGTGTTGAATTAAAGACTAATAATAATAGTATTGAACCTTTCCTGGGCACTTACGATATGTAAGGCACCACCGCTACTTTAGAGATGAAGAAGCAGGCTCCGAGAGGCTGAGGAATTTGCCCCAAGTCGTACAGCTGGTAAGTAGCAGAGCAAAGATTAGACTCATGTCTGTCTGACTCCAGGCTGGGTACCCTTTCTCCTGCACTGTGTGAGGCGGGAGTGGGGAAGGACTCCTAGAACAAGCATGGCCTGTACCTTTAAGGAGTTTATAATGTGTGGAATAAACGTTTAGTAAATGAAAGTGAATACAAGCCAGAATACCATAGTAAATGCTGGATTACATGGCGTAGTTAAATGTTGTAGGAGAGAAGAGGAAAACAAACCAGCTAGAGGGTTGTTTGGACAGGAGGAACGTCCTCAGAACAAAACGGAGAAGCAACCCAGCACCTGGTGAACAAAAGGGACTGGCGACCAGGTCCCAAGGCACCTGGAACGGAGGATTAACACAGGCCAGGAAGTGGTGAAATAATAAAGAGATGAGCACACAATAAAAATAATTGGGTTAACATTCTGGTGCTCTATGCTACTACCAAGCACAGTTCTTGAGATGTACCTACCACATCTCATTAATATTCCTTACAACTTCACAGAGGTCAGCAAGGGCAAAGCTAGCTGCACACTCAGTTAATGAGCGAGGGTGGAATCACCAAGGTGCTATTTCAGAGCTCTCAATGCAAAGCCACCGTCACGAACTCCAATAAACTAAAGCTTAAAGAAGAAGAGAAATAGTTATTACCTTATAAGTAGTCCTATTTTTTATAATTGTTAAGTTCTTTAAAACTACAAGTAAAATAACTTCACATACTTGAAACTATCATAGCCAGAGGACCAGGTACCTGATGGTGTGGGATTCGTACTTTCTCCATCTCCCAGAGCTTCAAGAAAGACACTCGGGTAGATCAGCTCTCCTCTTTACTGCACCCCCTTTTCTTAACCCTGAGTCAAAGACACGAGTAGTATGTAGCTCTTAATCCATATTTGGTTCCTATGAATGTCCATAACAATTTTCTAGGAACATTATAACTGATAAAAAACTTGAAGCACATACACAAATTTTTGAGCATCTAACTGGTAATGCATCGGAAGCTTTATGGAGATCCCCGTTGCACGATACCCTCGGCAACAGATGAATACACACGACGTCCCGCACTGTCTCATTTAATCTTCACACTGACCCCAGGAGACAGGTATTAGTATACCCATTTTATCGATGAAAAAACTAAGGTTCACTGAGATTAATCTCTCCATTGTCACCACCTACGTGTGAATGCAGCCCCGGTGTGAGACCATGTTCCCTCCTAACTACTGCCTCCAAGAACTATCGTTGTATTAACAAGCTAAAATTTTAATGTAATCATGAAGATTTAAAAAAGAATACATACGCTTCCTACATTTCTGCCAACCTTGACTCACTCTCATTCCTGCCACCCCCGCCCAAGCCTGTCACCCAACCCTGCCAAGTGATAAAACCAAACACATTTATTCTCATCTGTGCCCTTTCATGCACATGTTCCTCTGGAGCTGGTATTTACCAGGGTGATCTGGCTGACTGCTGGGTCCCGTGGACGCAGTAACAGATCAATAGGCTTATTAAAAAATGACATTAATTAAAGGTACGTGGTACTTCAAGGCTTTCAAAACCTTTCTCTTCAACGTTTCATGATAGTGCACCGTTTCACGTGATGGGGACCCGAGGCTCAGAAAGGCAGCTTGACTCTGCGGCAGGTACTATGACCTTTAAGGAGCAGAGGATTCACAAGTACGTGAGTTACACTGGGGGTCGGTAGTCCTGCCTCTCCCTGAAGCAAACGCCCTGAGTTAAAACACACCTATGGCACCCTTCCCAGCAGAGGAGTGCCGTGTCGGGACCTGTGCTCTACCCCCAGCTCTTGGCACATAAGCAAGTCACTTAGCGTCATCAGTAAAAGAGATCTGACCAGCTAATAATCAGCCTATCAATCTATGATTCAAACTGTTGTGCACACTGTCAGCAAGAGTTCAAACTTATCCTTGTTCACAGATGTGCAGAGAAGAAAGTCTGTTGATGGGCTTCACTGTCTTATCGCTCCTTCAATAAAATCCAGGAGCCCAGGAGTGTTCCTGGGAACCCTTGGCACTTGAAGCATAAAGATGGTCCACCCCTCCTCTCTCCTGCTGCCCTGTTGGACGCACTCCTCCAGGACTACAGCGATGGTCACTCTAGAAAGATAACTCTCTTTGGCTTCCCCAGCTCCACCTTTGGTTTCTTTGGCTCTAGCCTCATGTCTGGCACTATCTGTTAAAACATTTCCCCCCGTAAGTCCTAATACCAAACTCCCCACCTGTACCCCCTTTTCTTTTCATCCCCCACAAACAGCTACCTTTTTATTTAACCTCTGTATATGTTTTCCCGAAGCCTTAGTCATACTCATCCACCACCTCTTCCCAACAGAAACCTTCCATTGACCTTGCTCGAGCATGTCTTGGGTTTCCTTCCCTGTATGCCTTTACCGATCTCCCTGAGAATCGCCTCCACCCACGGATCCTCCCTTCGCCCATGGCCCTCCCAGACCACCACACGGTAGAGGTCATGCCTTCTTCACAAAGTCTTCCAAACGCTCAGCAAGCAGTCCCAAACACCTGAATCCTTCAGGCAGCATCAGTGCGAGATCCCATGTTTCACTGTGCAGACCTGGACTCCACTGTATGTCGTTCACGGTATGTAGTTCAGTAGCTGCTTCAATGACTGACACCTACTTTATTTATTTATGTATTTATTTATTTTAGTCCTCACCCAAGGATGTTTACTGATTTGAGAGAGAGAAAAAAAAAAACATCAATTGGTTGCCTCCTGTATGGGGCCCTGACTGGGGATTGAACCTGCAACCTTCGGGTATGTGGGACACACTCTGACCAACTGAGCCACCTGGCTAGGGCAAATGATATCTACTTTAAATGAGTGAAAATGCTTTACATTTAACAAAAACATTTTGATAAAACTTTTCATTTGCCTCTCCAAATAATCCTAAAACTGCTTCTCTAGTTTAAAAAGCAAAAGCAGTGAAGGCCCACGATCACAAAGCTGTGAGGCAGCAGAGCTGGGACTCCCCCTGGTCTCTGAGATCGTCCCCTGTGAGTTCTGTGTACAATGTGTCTATGACGCGAGTCCTTTCGACTAACAGCGGGGACCAGGTGAACATTTGATGTGAACTATCTTGTCAGGAAAGTACTAATGTTAATTAAAACTTTCCTTCCCTGTTCAATTTCTTGTGGTCCTTCAAGGTCATCTTACTGTTGACCCAGACTTGGCTCAAGTACAATATTAGCACTTAGTTTTTTAGAACATACAGGAAGAACAAAGCTCTTAACAAAAGCAAATATAAGAGAGATAGTGCTCATAAGACCTAGAAGGAAAAGAATCTATATTTTCTTCTGGTGAAAATAAATCAAGCCAGTGAATCACACATACATTCTAACTAGCACAGGGCTGAGCAAACCAATGGTAAGCTGACCCTCTACTTTCAAATACACAAGCAGCCAGGACCACACACACAAACACATACACGCCCCATTTGGACAGAATACTTGTGGGAAAGGAGGGAAAAAAACAAATTTACTGCTATATATCTGTTGGTTTGTTGTAGTTTTTTTTTTGGACTATCCAAACTAGTAGCTTTGATTAGCATTAGATTTTTCAGCTGACAAGAAACAACAAAGAATTACCCTAAAAACAAAAGAGTCAAATGTCTTTCATAATGATACATACATAAAAATACTCTTGCTATCTCTAAGAACACTCGTATTTCATTGAAGCAAGCTCTGGAGGTGGTAACAAATTACCCCCAGATGTAAAATCCAGGCTATGGTCAAGTTCAACTGGCAAGCAGGACAGCCCCAATTTGCTTCTAAATTTGGAATCAACCAATAAACATTTGTGATCAAAACCTCTGGCCTCCTCTTCTTTCTTATGAATCACAGAATTATTTTAGACATTTTAAATCCAGTCTAAAACTTCCCATGTTGTCGATGAAGAACTGAGGGCCAGATACTGAAATGCAAAACAGAAAATAAATTACATTCACAGAAAACTTTCTCAGCAAAACACCACAGGCTCTGAATTGAAGGTTTTGTTTTTACTATGGTTTCCTGAGGCTGGGGTTGAAGGTAGAGAGAGGAAAACAGCCTTAAACCAAACCAAACAAAACCAGCATTCACCCAACGACCTCCACAGGTCTGAAGGGTCTGTCACCAAGCGTCTTTCAGCCCAGCTAGCTCCAAGCCACACAGCACTAACGCCACTTTGATCGTGGCCACCGTTGTGACGACAATAAGAAACCTGCCTAGAACTGACTGAAACTGAGCAGCTTGTTCCTTAAGCCCCATTAGTCCTCACAACCACCACCTACATACAGATCCATGAGGCTGGGGGCAGCAGAACAAGTTTTCACCAACTTTTTTTCAAGAAAGTGAAATATGCAATAGAAACACCAGTTACAAAGGAACAGAAAAGGAACAGAAAATTTCTAGAAATTTACAAATGCAGTATCTATTTCATAATATTTTTGGAGGCACTGTCACACAGCCCTTTGTGAGAAAAGCTGTATTTTTAATTACATGCCAAAGTTGATCATTTTAGTCTACCTTACTATTAGCTTCTAATCATATAAACCATCCAAGTGTCATCTCTGCAGCCACTAAACTCAGTTCACTTTCTGTAAAGACAGAACTTGCATGGTAGGGTGGGTAGGAGGGGAGGGAGAAGAGGAAACATTACCCTCTGGCTCTGACCACGACAGCTCAGTGTTAAGCACTGCCCTTTGTGTGAGGATCACCCAAGGGGAACAGGACACCTAGGGCAAAGCTGGGGGGCACAGTGTCTGCAGTCACCCACTGAGAATCCAAAGCTTGTTGGCAAGAGCTGACTGGAAACCAGCAGAGCGGAGAAGGAGCTGTAAATATAACCTCTGTGAACCTGACTTGAAAGATCAGATCAAAACGGCAGGATGGAGAGCCTAGTATTATTTTTATCATTACAAAAAGAAAAAAGGCATTAATAATTGGCCAGAAGAATAAGTCTTCTTCCAATTATTTCCACAGGCAGGAGAGTCAGTTTTCTAATAAAAAATCACTATGCACAGAACTAAATATTTGAGTCGGCAGAGAAGTCACCTAATTGTTACATTGCTTTCCCTTTGAGCCATTTGTCCCATTTGGCTAGCTCTGTACTTTCACCCCAACCAAACCTCAGATGAAGACCAACCTTTGCCCAGATAAATATACTTCACCAAATCTGCTGATATTTCCAGCTGAAATCCCCAATGCATTTTAATACCCCGCCTGGTCAAAAGTCTGAGCACTCTACTGCCAAGGAGTAGAACCAACCAGGACCAAGAAAGAGATCCTGCAGAATTCCTACTCCTTGACCCCAAAACAAATAAATGAAACAGGACTCAAGAAAAGATGAACCTAGAGGGTGAGGCTAAGGGTGGGAGCACTGGGGAAGGTGATATGAAGAAAGGCTGAACACTGGAATGAGTGAAGCAGTTAGAAAGTTCTGAGGAGCTACAGGCACTGACCTTCGGATTCCCAGGTGTGACAAAGACCCACAACAGGCCCAAGGGGCAGCCCCCTGAAGCCTCCTCTTTGCCCTGCCAGCCCCAGCAATCACAAACACATCCTTCTTGGACTGGCACCCATTCCACAAGGCGCTCTGTGGAACTTGTTTATTTAAGAAGCCAGATGCTTTGATGTTGGAGTACAAGTTGGGAAATAATGACTGTAAAGAAGTAGTGACAGGAGCAGAGAGAGGACAGAGAATGAGCTACAGTTCCTGGCTTTATTAATCATAAGTTTTAAAAGTCACAAGGACATTGTCAAATCCTCTGAACAGAGGAAATGAGAGGTAAGGAAATTATGTCAGCCACCAGTGTAACTCCAGCCAAGGCATTTCATCTGTTTCTTGAAGACAGTTTCATGCCTAATCTCAAAGGAGTGCTTACAGGAAAAATGTTTTGAAGCAATCCAACTTAGCAACCAACATTAATAAACTCTTCTACACTCGCTCAATTTCTCTCACGTACAAAGGTTTATGTGGCACGAACACTCCAAACACTTAAAGGAAAAAATCAGCTAAAAGTGTGGCATGACAACAGTTTAGGGTTAAAGGCAAAAGACAGGTTATTTATCGAGTGTAAGAAAAGAGCTTTTATAAATACACATGCACACTTGTTGGATTTCATGAGTGAAGAGCCTGAGTTATATAGATCACTAGGGCACAGGTCTCCTAGAACCAGAGGAATAAAAAAGCAGCACATTTTAGTTCTACTTCTGCTTTCTTAAGAAGCTTAATTAAACACCAGTATATTCTCACAAGCCAAAAAGGCCACAGAAACAGGTCCAGGAGATTCGCTAAAACCTTCTGAAGCTTTTCATTCTCTGGCCTGAGTATCTTTTCTTTGGGTCTTGCCCCTCTGGAGGGTAGTCACATCCATTGAATTAATGGAGCTTGACACTAACAACAAGTTATAACAAGTAAAGAGAACCAAGAACTTCTAATTTTTCTTGGGAAGTGAATTCTGTCATCTTGAAAAACAACTCTGACACTTTCCCAGCTGTACAGAACTATTCAACATCTCTAATAAAACGTGGTTCTGGCACGCTAATATTTTTACTTTACTCTGTTTATAAAGGGCCCTAAAATACTACATCTCTTCAGTACAGTTCAGGGTGACTTATTATGACTGTTACAAATACAGAATTGAAAAGCAGAACAGACTACTACATGACAATTCCTGGTGAAGGAGGTGGAACTCGAAGAACCGCTTCGCTCGCCCACTGCAAGGTGAAGATCATTCACAGCGGCTCCACTTTTACCACACACGCACGTTCCCATAGGGATGGGATCATTGAAGAAGAGACTGAGTGATTAACAAATGCAAAAGTAGCCATTTAAAATTAAAGCAATTGGAAGGAGATTTTTTAAAAAGCTAAAAAAAAAAAGCTACAGAAAAATCACTGGAAATAGTAGCTAAAAAAAATTAAAAGAAACAGATTTCTTCATATGCCAGACTTCAAAGAATAAGGTTCCAGATCTGCTGTTGATTTGGCCTAAGAACCCCCCAAGTCAGTTTTATCAACTTTTTGCTAGAGAAATCACAGCATTACCAATGACATCAATTCAAACTAACCAGAGAGGACTTGCAGTAAAGGAATGAATCCAAAAGTAGCAGCAGATCCTGTCAACCAGGAAGAGAGGAATCTGACATATGGGATAAGAATGCTGTGTCCAGCTGGCTCCGGGAAGGAAGTGTGCCCGTTATAAAGTACACATCTGTGCTGTAAAAGCAACTCCACTGCCAGGTCGGAGTCTACGTGATTTGTCCCCCTTCATCAAACGGGTAGATTTTCCAGTATTCATTCCATCCTATCTGCACCCAACCTGTCCCACCGTCAGCACTAGCTTGGCCACCTTTCTGCAGCTGCTGCTTGGACTGCATTACGCTGACTTATCCCTGACTACTTCCGCTTTCACTGAAACCGCCTTAGGTCCCCATTGGAGAATTCTGCACAGGTAACAAGTGTAGTCCAGGCAAAGGGAGACAGTTCAAGGGGAAACTGAGATTCGGCTGATATGAATGTGGCTATACAAAGACAAGTGCATTAACCACTCATTTCTGACCCCATGTGCACCTCTCTTTGCAAGAGAAACGGATATGTAACAGAGAGAATATATCAAATAGAAAATACCTTATGCAAATGTGGGTAGCAACAATTAACTTATTTCTAGGGGGAAAA